TGAGAGGGTGTCCGTGAGCCCCTCCTCAGACCCCCTCTGCACCAACTCATGTCTGCTTTCTGTCCCGTTTCCCAGGAAGCCTTCGGCCTTGAGGTGCCCTTCCTATTCTTCGCTGTCATCTGCGCTGGGAACATCTTATTCACAGGCTGCTGTGTTCCAGAAACCAAAGGCAGGTCTCTAGAACAGATCGAGGCCTTCTTCAGGACTGGCCGGAGGTCGTTCATGAGGTAGGAGCTGTCATTTGCCAGCCACACTGGGCCACCTGTCCACGTGCTCAAGGGCAAGAAAGACCACAGTTGTGCTGCTGGCAGCTGGAGCTCTCTCCAGAGACAATGGGAGAGGAACAGGCAGCAGCGACCGTCTTGCTTTGGATGTAGATGTTGCCAACTGGAACTTTACCTTCTCTTCCCACCATTCAACACTACCTGTTGCTCTCTGGGCAACATGTCAACCTGAGGTATAGGACCAGGTAACCAGCAGCAGGCTGGAGATGAAGATGTTCTGGAAAACAGAACATGTGGCTGTGGACAAAAGATCATGCGGGTCCTTTGCTCAGCAGCCACCAAAGCAGCCCAAGAGCCTGAGGGTTTGGCTGGAACAACCAGAGTCAACAGCTGTAGCTGCTTTGGCAAAAGTTCATCATGTAGTTGCAAAAATAAAACGGTTTTGCCTTCAACTGGAAGATGTTGCCTTTATTGCAGAGAAAGGAGCTGCAGGCAGGTGGGACAGGAGAAGCAGACCAGGACTGTGACAAGGGGACCACAGCAGCCTGCAGCTTTCCAGATGAGTCTCATGTACTTGGGGACTTTGAAAGAGGCAGAGCCAGATATTTTGTATAAAAAGCTGCCACATTTTATTGCTCTAAAAACACACAGTACACTAGAAGCCTAATGAACAAGACCAAATACAGTTCACAGAGAAAATCCAGGACAAAACAAAGAACGAGAACAGACAGACATTCAGCTGTAGTGCAAGTGATTCACTGTAGGAAAGACACAGTGGGTACTGACAATACTTTGTACTGGGATGGGTCCTTCCCACCCCAGAGTTTTACTCATCCACAAAGAGAAAGGTGGATGTACCCCCATCACAGTTGTGTGTGGAGCCTCCATCTCCATCACTTTGAGATTTCAACTGCATAGTTAGTAGCAAATTGCTCTTACCCCTTTCCTGTGTGTCCTGCACGATTAAGGACTTCTTTAATTTTTTTTAGAGCCTAACCCTAGGTAAAACACAGCTGCAGGAGGTGATTACGGCTGCGAGGAACAAATGGCCTTGCTGAGTATTACATCCAACCTAACTCCTCCCAAAAGGGCAACACAACAAAGGCTGAGCTGGGAGGTGATTTGCCCAAGCTCCTGAAATGCACTTGGCAGCCCGAGGGCTGGTGGAGATGTTGGTGTCCTCCCATTCCTGGAACATTGAGCCTGCAGTGACAAGGAAGCATTGGGTAACGTAGCATATTTGACCCAGATCTCAAGATATGCTACCTACTCTTGAGATCCCCTGCCACAGGAGATGGGAGAAATAACCTAAGAGAAGATGTGCTTTATCAGAGGATTAATGTAAAGCAGCCTGGGACAGAGGAAGAGAGATGGGCCAAAATCAAAACCACAGAGAAAATTCAGTATTAGACCTAACCTTTGCAGCTGAGACCCATTTCCAGAAAGATGTTCAGCTCTGGCTGGAATATGACTATTTCTAAATATGGCCTGATTACAAGAGGTCTCAAGAGCCTCTGGTTTCCACTAACCTTCTGAAGATCAGGATCTCTGGCAGCCCTGTGCTAGAGCAATCTCTTTCTCACATGGCTATGGACCAGGTCTTGATATCTTCACTTCAGTGAATCCCTTCCCTGAAGACAAAAAAAATGACAAAGATGAATTGAGCTTCCCAGGGCTCAGCCTGAGGAGGAAATGCCCAAATATGAAACGAGGTTGGACTCTTCAGGTCCTGTGAGACTCTTATGGGAGAAGTATTGTCTGAGTGACCTCCTTCAATATAGAAAGTCTGAGCATTTTTGCTACAACGTTTAGAGTCTGAGAAATCACAGTGGCTCTTTCCAGAGGTAGAATGGTCTTTTTATTCACTGCACACACAGAGAATCGATTGGTGTTACAAAATGAGCTCCTGCCTGGAGCAGTGAGGTCTGGGTACGCAGCAGAAAGTGAGCTTCTGCCCTTCTCTTCACACCCAACGGGCAGCCCCAGGGGACAGCGGAGCCAATATGCACAAGTGCCATCAGTGCCATGGCTGAGTGGGACAGGGAAGAGTTGCACGCTGTGTGAGTGCACGTGGGTAAGAAGCACACAGCTCACGTAGATGTGTAACACTCCACTGCTAAGAGCACACCTCCTGCCAGTGCCCAGGTGTCTTTCCACACTCACCAACGACTCACTGGAGTCACTGCATCACCTGCTCTTGAGTTCTCATATAACAAAACTTCTGTCCCATCGCCTCCCAAGAGGCCTTTCCAAGACCCAACAAGCAGAACCTCTTCTATAGACATCCCATAATAGCCATCCACCCTGGATGCCATCTGCAGGGATTGGGTTTAGCCTGTAAGTTCTCTAGAGCAGGGCTTTGAAATCATTTATCCTTACACAGCTCCAAGCACCCTGATGGTGCCTCTAAACACAATTAATAACCACCATGCACTGTGAATGGGCAATATTAACTACTGTGATGCTACTACTCTAAAGGTCCTCTCTATCTCCACGAAAACAGTGCCTTGCCCACACGGAGGTGAGACCATCCACTAACTGTCACTACAACTCTTAAAAGCCATGGGTGCTGTCACCAAGCCACGTCTGCAATGATGGCAGCATCTGGCTTGGCTTCAGCTGCATCACAGCCAGCTGAAATTCCCAAGAGCTCCCACTCCAGACACAGCTGTAGGAACCAGCAGTTTTGGAGCATGGATCTGGGAGACCTCCTGTTGCAGCAGGCATAGAGACATTTAACAGCCCCAGTGTCTTTAAATGTTGTGGCCAAAGGCTCCAGCTCAGCTCTTACAGAGGAGTCCCTGAGGCCTATTTTCAACAGAAGTGTTGAGCTCAGAGCTGAGCTTTGCAACCTGCTAACGGTGGCAGAGCTGGGGCAGATGGTTCACTTGCCTTGGCCCCAGTGTCAGACCCAACTGCCACAAAACACAGCGTGACAGTACTGCTGGCACCTGAGGGACGTCTGCCGCTCGTGCCAAGGGAGCAGAGTGGATCCATCCATGGCCACGAGCCCTCCAGGAGACCTGGGGCAGCGTCTGCCTGTGCCAGCCCCAGGGACTGTCCCAATGCCGTAGACCAGCAGCCATCTGGTGAAGCCAGAGAGGGTCCTACCAGTTCCATGGCTCATCACCACGGCGTTACTCCATCGTCTCTGCTTTGCCTCCTGCCTCCTGTCTCTAAAGCTACTGTGGAACTACTCACAGAGCAAAGCAGTCACTACCAAAGACATGCTCGTAGCTACGTGCATCAGTCTGTAACATTCCTCTACTACACACTACTTAACTCCCCAAACCCCCCTGAAATCTAAGCAGATGCCTCGTGTGCTAGGCAGGACTCTGCACTTGAACCACCCAGAGAAGGTACTGTGCAGGGACACCGCTGGTGGAGAGCAGAGAGGCTTTTATCACTGAAGACTCCTGTGGGGTGTTCCTCCTGCAGCACCCCATCTCCACAGGCAGCGTGACCCCTACAGTCCTCACACACACACACAAGGAAAGGTAATGCCCCATGTATTGGGGAGGATCAGCTCAGAGCTGGGGGGCTCTGAAACAGCACAGCCTTTATTGAAACCAGCTGCATCTGGGCTGGTGGTGCCTATTCTGCATCCCCGACAGGCTGGTGTCAGAGCAATCACGGTCCAGAGGCCCCAGGGGGAAAGGGGCTTAGCACAAAGTGGCCACCCAGCATCCAGCTGTGTGCAAATAAACCCAAGCCACGTTCCTGACCGGTGTAAATCCTCACACCTCCCTGGACTCTGAGGAAGAAAGAGCAGCTAACACCAGCCGGCAGCTTAGCCCCCCGATCTCCAGGGACCACTCTGCTCCTGCTCCATCCCTACCCTGCCACCTCCTTCTGCTGGAGGTGTCGTTCTGCTAACACGAATATGCACCATACCTAAAGAAAGCACTATATAGGTATTTTCCAACACTACACTGCTCAGAAGCCACAGAGTGGCTGGGGGACAGACCCTTCTGACAGAGCACTCAGCCTTCAGCAGCATTTCTCAGACCACGGTGCAACCTTTCTGGTACCCCACGATTCAGTTGGGACCACAAAGTGTTGGTGGCAGCAGGAGCTCAGCTCCCAGGGCAGGGGAGTGAGAACAGGCTGCCTTTCCTCAGCCACTGTCCCCCAGAGCTGCTGCCTGCCTTGGCTGCTGAGCTGAGAACAAACCTCCAGTCCAGCAGCTACAGCCCAGTTTTCCTCCCTTCTCTCTCCCAGAAGAGGGGAAAACCAAACTTTGTCAACACAACTTTCCAAAGTCTGAGAAATTCTCCGATGGCTGAAATAGGATTTTACAGTATCCCAGTTAGAGCATCCCAGTTTCAGTATCCCAGTTAGAGCACCCCAGTTAGAGCAGCCTGGGCTCTCCCTGGGTTCAGAGACCCCCCACAATGAAATGAGGCAGCCCTTTGAAGGCCAGGAAACAGAGCACTCCTTCCTCCCAGGTCCAGAGAAAACAAGTCCCATGAAAATACTTAAATAACAACAAATAAATTATTCCTCTTTTTCCTAATTAAAAAAAAGCAATAATGTAAAATCAAATAAATTAAACCCAGAAGAAACCATGATAAGAGGGGGATCTGGACTTAGCAGTTTTGTTCTGCACGACACAAAGCAAACAGAAAATATAATGCAAGAACCACTGATGGAGCCTGTAATAATGATGTGACCCAAACTGAAATGGTGCAGACTTCCCTGAGTTTGCACAGGAAGGGTATGTCACCTTCCCATACAAAACCAGCCCAGGACTGATGCAAAAAGAACAGACTGTAATAATGATGTGACCCAAACTGAAATGCAGACTTCCCTGGGTTTGCACAGGAAGGGTATGTCACCTTCTCATACAAAACCAGCCCAGGATTGATGCAAAAAAGAACAAGAGCCAAAAGAGAAAGGCTGTACCAGACAGAAGCCAAGAGCAGGTCCCTTGCAGAGGGATGGGTCACAGGAGCAGATGCAGGGAGTGAGAGATACCAGAGCAGAGGCCTGGCCTCAAGAAAGAAGGATGCTCTTGCACATCAGTTAACGCTTACACCAGCAAAAAATCCTGCTCGGCTCAAGCAATAGTATCCTTTCTCAGCTGAGGTAAAGCAAACCTTATTTCCCTTCTTCCCCAGTAAAAGAGTGAAGCTTAAGAAAAGTACCCTTATTAAGACAAAGTAATTAATTCTTATAATTCAAGTAAATTGCAGTAACTGCCCGCAGCTGTATCCAGAGGAAGAGGGGACTGTGCTTTGTAGGTACCAGGATCTGCCCCAGTGCCTCTGGCAGCTCCTCTGCAGAGAGGGTTATTGTCTTTATACAGGTTTTTTGCTGGAAAGTCCTTTCCCCTGCAGCGATGCCTGGCCTGACTGGACCCATATTAAAACATATTCTATGGAAGATGACCAAGCTTAGGCATCACCATGTTGTGTTAAACCCTGGATTAGTGTATTACACCTGGGAAGGGCCACACCAGAGACCGTTACTAAAAATATGTAACGAGCACTGCATCCTCAGCTCGTCACTCCAAAGAATGGCTACCTACTCAGGCTGATAAAGCAGCACTCAAAGAGCCAGCACCTCTATAGCAGAAAATAAAAATAAATTAAAAAATAGGGGGACTGTGAGATATTTGGTTGAGGAGGAGAGAGGCCAACACGCCAAGGTCTGGCTGCTGGTGTGAGAAGGGGGCACAGCCCGCCCCAGCCCCTGAGATTTCCAGTTGCTGCAGTGTCCAGGGAAATCATGGTGCAATGGAGAGGGGAGCGGGCAGAGGAAAGGGCAGAGTGGGTTTCCATATCTTCACCATCTCAGCGTCCAGAAGTTACCCTGAGCTCGTGTGTTTCAGAGAGCCTGTCCCTCCAGGGCCCCTGTGAGCTTCTCTTCATCCATTTGCTTCTGCTGCTGGTGGATCCGGGCGTAGGAAATGGCATCTCCCCTGCAGAGAGAAGGGACAGCGTGGGGACATGAGCTCCGGGTGCCCACCACGGTGGGTAAGCGCCTGACACAGAGGTGTCCCAACCAGGGCCCAAGACTCTCTGTGCCGAGGGATGCCAGGAGTGAAATGAGACTTGCTGGCCCTCTCCAACCCCACCAAAGCTGCTCACCACCCCCACAGCTGGGCCCATCTGTCCAATGACTGCAGAAAGAGGGCTGGGACCCACAGGGCAACCTAGACTGAGCTCCCAAGGAAAAGCTCAGAACTTCAGCAAACCCTAGGACCTTCCCTCCCAGGGCTTTGAGATGATGGCAGGGAGATGTTCTACAGCATTTACACCTGGAAGCAGGGTTAGTACAAGAGGAAAGCGTAGCCTCAGGGAGGAAGATGAGGGTGAGGGCTGGAGGTCCACCTTCCCTCCACGAGCAGACAGATCTCTCTTACTTTTTGCCGAGCGCCGACATGCCATAAAGCACCCCGGTGGCAAAGGCAATGGCATTCCCAAAGAGCGTGGTGAGCGTCAGGCTGAGCACAACGGGGAACACAGCCATCCTGGAAAACAGAGGCAGCCCTCAAAGCCAGGCTCTGCTCCCCACGGGATGCGGGGATGCTCCTCCAACACAGCACACCCATGGGCATCCCAACGCAGTTCCTGGGATGGTTTCACCCCCACAACACTCCCCCAGCACCATCCTCACCCGCAGTAGAAAGCAGCTTTCTGCCAGGGCCGCAGCTTGTCCGCCCTCGCGGAGACGGCATTCGCAAACTCGATAAACTGGCAGCAGAAAGGGGCTTCACACAGGAACAGGACAAAGGCGTTGAGCCTCCAAGACAGAGAAAACCAGAGTTAGTCCTGGCCACAATGAGCCCAGCCCCACAGAGACCAGCCACCCCCACGGCCAAACACAGGCAGAAGGGAACTGTAGGGCTGGACATCCTCCCTTCTTGTAAGTCCCAAACCCTGGTGCCCCAGATTTAATTTGAGTAAGTATTTACTACAACCTGGTCTAGTGGGAGGTGTCCCTACCCAGGGCAGAGGGGCTGGAATTGGATGATCTTTAAGGTCCCTACCAACCCTAACCATTCTATGATAAAAAGGGGTAAAGACAATATAAATAGAATAAACCCAGCATCTCAACCCACCTGATGGAGCAAGAGCTGACAATTCACAGAGCCTGATAGACATTTCACTCACATCCACCACCCAAGAGGGGCAGCCCTGCCCCTTGCCCAGGGGTGTCTAATTAACCAAATCTCCCTCCCAGCAGAAAAGAAGAAAAGAAACTCTGGCTCACATCATCCACACACCAGCCGCGATGTTCAGGGGGTTGATGGTGACACAGTTCCAGAGACCAGCAAAGGCACAGGCTGGAAAGCAAAGAGGCTTTCAGTGACCATGAAGACCAACCCCATGTCCCCATGGAAGTCTGGCTGCTCCTCTGGCTCTGCCCTGCAGCAGGACCTTGCAGTCACACCAACATGAGTTCACTTTCCTGTATTTTGGGCTGTTTTGTAGAGCAGAGGCCACCCAGAAGAGCCTTTGCCTTGACCAGCACCTCTAGGCACTGCAGAGCAGCTCTCCAGACCAGCAGAGGAGGGCGGGTGGAAAGGGCTGATGGCCAGAAGAAGACCCTGGGGTACAGGGGAGAGGGCTTCTTCGCAGCTCCTCCAGCCAGGTATCCTTTTGCTCTGAACACATGGTGTCTCAGCGTGACACTCACACAACTATGTCACAACAGACCATTTGCATGTATGCGGAGTCACATACACGACACCCTGGTCTTTATTTGCCAAGGAATTACTGTTTTGTCCCAGGATGAACAGAGAGGTCCCAGCAGTACCCATCCCGGAGCAGCACAGGGGAACGTTCAGCAAGAACACGACTCGCAGCACCAAGACACAGGGACAAACAACAAATAAAGCAGAGGCGAATGCAGTCTCTGCCTCACACTGCTGGTTCTGCGGAGCAGCACAGGGGAACGTTCAGCAAGAACATGACTCGCAGCACCAAGGCACAGGGACAAACAATAAATAGAGGTGAATGCAGTCTCTGCCACACACTGCTGGTTCTGCACTAGAAATGGGCAGAAAAGAGCCAAGTTTGGGTCTCCGCTAATAGAAATAGAAGCGGATAAAGCAGAGCCCAAAATAGCCCCCAGCACTCCTGGCTCTGTAACGCAAGGAGAGGAACCAGGCAGCAGCATCTGAGCCGAGGTGGCATGTACCTCCCTCCTGCCTCATTAAACTTGCAGAGGAAGTTGATATGCCCTTGATACAGCCCTTTCCCTCTGCCGATACCAACCGGCTGCCGCTGCTCACCGGGAACCCGAGCCCGGCAGGGAGGGCAGAGGGACCTGGGCTGAGGCCACAGTAAACAACACCGCCCTGAGAAACTCCAGCTAAAATTATATAGCCCTGAAAGGCTGTCTTGGGGATGTTTAGCAGTGTAATGAAGAGCAGCAGGGTCCGTCTCTGGAGAATGAGACCAGCCTGGGCTCAGGTATTTGAGATATCTGCTTGTATTTTCCTAAGGGGATCCCTGAGCAGCACTGCCATGAGCTGTCCTGACCTTCAAAAGCCTGGCACACGCTTGCAAGGTTTCTTTAAAGCAGTCACTGCTGAATCCTCAAAGTTGCCTTAAAAATAGTTATCCTTATTTACCGGCCTGGGAAACAGACCTGTAGCCTATGACAGGATCAATCTAAGGTCATCCCACAAGCAAGTGAACCCCTGGTTTCAGGAAACAACAAGGTGGTTTCTAAAGGCTTCCCAGCACTATTTCACAGGACCCAAAAGCTTTTGGAGAATCCTGCAAGAAGAAGATCAGCCAACAGAGGAGAAATGCCAGAGGACGCGTTACCAGCGATGCTCCAAAGGCACTTCTCATCTTCCCATCACAGAGGGACCAGTGGCAGTGTCCCAGGGTGGGATGACCTGCTCACGGTCACACGTGCAAACAGCTGGAGAGCTCTAAAAATCAATGGCAAGCAGGATTGCTGGGAGCAGTGGGCACAACACAGAAGTTTCCAGTTCTTTTCTGTGACCAACAAACCCTTGGATGCTGACGGGAGAGGAGCTCAGGAGAAGCACCCCAAGCTTGTGACACTTGCTCTCAGCCAGGAAAGCAGACTCCTGAAAATCACGTTAAGTGACTTTAAAGGCACTTTATAGTTAGCAGAACAGCAAAAATCAGCTGCATCTCGACTACTCCCGAAATGCAGCCGGGGCTGGGGCAGAGCCCTGCCCTGTTTAACAGCACAGGGAGCAGAGCAGACCAAGAGCTTCGTGGCTACAAACCAATCCCAGCCATGCAACAACACAGGGAGGCAGAATTCTATGATTTTAGTAATATAATTTGTTTTCAAGCAGGTTTTTGGCCTTACTCTTTTTTTTAATCTAGCCAACCAGGGGCTGTTTTGTCGGGGTTCTGGTTTGGTTTTGTCCTCAAACACCCCAAAACAACCCTCAAGCACTAAGTCTCAGCTCAGCAACCACCCGGGTTGCCAATGGGCTAGTGACCCAGCAAGCCTGAGCTGAGCAAGCCCATAACGTCAGCACCAGTGCCAGCCAGCAGGAAAGGAGGCAAAGGTTTATAGTCCCAGCACTTGGTGGTGGCTGCCAACAGCCACAGAGATAACGATTCAGTGACCTTCAGTCTCCTCTGCAGAGCAGCACATCCCACAGCAGCCTGGTACATCCTGGTCCCACTGTGACAGGACCAGCTCCTGCCTCAATAGCCAAAAGGGGACAGAGCTGCCAAGCCAGAGACTTATTTTTGAAAAAACTATAAAAAAAAAAAGAGGCCTTGCAGTAGGTTTAAAATGCAGATAATGCTCCATGGCACGTAAGCTATGGAAGACAGACAGTCCTGCCATTTGTTTAACTGCTGTCCCATCTCGAATCCCTGAGGAAGCACAAATAACTGGGAGCTAAAATGGGGGGGAAGAACACCACCCCCCACAAAGGCTCTATTCATTTCAAGCAGCTGGCCCCTGTCCTCCACACAAGCCTATTTTTGCTCCCAGAGCATTTTACAAAAGCCACAGGCTCTCCTCGTCCGATTACAAAGAGGGACACAAGGGAGAGAAGGGACTTGGCCAAGGTCACCAAACCAGCCTGTGCAAGAGAAACAGAACCTGAACCTTGTTGGTCTTCTTCCTGCTCTGGCCCATGGACCCTTCTGGCTTAAACAAGTTGTGGGCTGCATGTGGTAGATGTTGTCTGCCAGTCTCACCTCCACTAACAAAGTTTCTCCTCCTTTTTACAGGGAATTTCTCCTTCTGTAAGAAATAATCCAGCCCTGCAGTAGGACCACAATCCCGTTGCTCAAAATCCTTCCAAATGATTTCTGTTCTTCCATAGCAAGCTCTGAAAACAGCAGCCTCGCTGTGTTATTAGTCACCCCGTTTCCAAACTCTCCACCTTCAACAAGGTGATGCTGAACAAGAAGCATTTTGAAGAAGGCCTTTGCCAGCACGGGACGTTGGAAGGTGGCCTCTTTCTACAGTCCCCCATCTCCCTGCTCGTAAGAGGAGTCTGTGTCTCACACTGCCTGATGAACCTCACGACTGTCAGGGCTACAGAGCTGTCTGACTCCCCAAATTGTCAGCAATCCTGTTAAGAGCCTGGCTCTTCTTCCAAAAGCTTCTTCTCCCAGACTCACCAAATACGTAAAACTCTCAGCTTTCCTTTAAAAACAAGTCATGAGTTCTCCGAGCTGCGAACAAAAGGTTGGGAAAATAATTCAAGTGTAATTCAGCTGCTCTGAAACATGAAGACAGAGAAAAAATGTCTTCAAAGACTTGCACTTTTAAGTGAGCTGCTCTGGCACGAGGTAGACAACACCACTGGTGTGACCCAACATCCATCCTCACCAGCTCTTCACCCTCCATCCGCATCTCCCTCAGCTCTGCACAGCCCAAAGCCACATAAAAGGCACCGAAGGTCCTGCTACAGCCCTGGCCCATGGGAGAAAGACACTGCTACACAAACCCCCACCTGGGACCTGGGCTGAAGACACGTCCCAGCTGGTCTCTTGGCCGTCTGCCGGGACCAGAAGTGTGGGGGCCTCCGCGTGGCGAGGACAGTATGTTTTGCCCCGTAAGAGCAGTCCTACCAAATTTTTTCCTACCTCCAGAATTTCAGCACCTAAGACATAAAGCAGCATGTGTTTGGCCAGCCCAGCCAAAAAGGGCAGTTATGAGCCCAAAGATACCACCATCTACAAGGTGGGCTACAAAAATGCCCTGGGCTTGTGCAGTCAATCCTGAGGCAAGAGGCAAACATGGAAAAAGGGCAGGGAGAGAGGGGAATCAGACAAAATGCGACAGCCAAGGGAATAAATCAGGGCTGACTGCACTGGCTGAGAAACACTCTTGTTTTACTAGAAGTCATGGACCCGAAGCAGGAGAAATTCTCCATCCTGTGCTCTGCAGGAGATCAGACTAAGCGGTCATAACAGTCCCTCCTGCTTTTAAGAGCTATTAATCTCTCCACAGAATGTAGCAAAACAGCACTACGGGACAGGCTGATTTCTGGCAAAGTTGCAAAGGCTCTTTCCCTGGGAAAATTTTTTTCAGCAGCAGGTAATTCAGAGCGCAGCCAACTCGCTTTGCTGTTCGACGGCTCCCTTCTTCTGTCTCTCCAACACTAAACCCCTTAAAAACACACACAACACAAACCAAGTCTGTTATTCACCTCCAAAAAAAAAAAAAAAAAAACATTCAGATGCAAATAGTGAAATATTACTAACGAGATAACAGCAAGAATTGCAATAACAAAACAGCAAGCATTGCTATAGGGGATTCCAAGATCTTCAGCCCATCAACAGCTCCCCCTGCAACTATCCAAAATTCCTATGGAAAATCAACGATAGCTCTAAATATTCTATTTAAAAAAAACCCAATTTTTTATTCCCCCCAAAAAAAAAAAAAAAAAAAACCCAAAAAACCAACAAAACAACACAGCCAGGTCCTCTGTGATCAACACCAGGAGTAACAGGAAACATGCTCAGACACACAGGATGGGGAAAGAAAATGAGTTGCAGGAACATACGAACACCTGACAGTCAAATAGGATGACCCAAACCCTGTGGCCCCTCTCCGAGCCCCAAACCTGACCCTGCTGAGCACCCCGAGCTCGGCGCTCCCAGTAAGAGCATCATCTGGGTTATGTGCCCACAGCCCTCCCACAGGAGCCGGGGCTCGCTGCTGCTCCCAACAATTCCAACTGTACCCCAGAAGAAACTGGAGGAATTATGGATCCCCTCCATAATGTCCCTTCTCCCAGGTGCCGAAGCACAGCGAAGCACATCCCTCGTGTTCCAGCAGAAACCACCCCACTTCAGGCATGACCACATCTCTTCATTCTGCCCGAAACGCAGCAAATTAATGTCTAGAGCAGACACAACCCCTGTAATCCCAAAGGATGGTTTTGTGGCACACACCTTCCGCCCCCCCCCAGCACAGACATGACCCTAACACGGGGCAGGCAGGACCCCAGACCCACACTCCCCCATGCACGAGCGGCGCCGAGGGGGAGCCTTTGGCTGTGAGGGAAGGGGATACTTACACAGGCCCCCGATGACCCCGGCAATCCTGCAGAGCCACCTGTACCACCAGGTCATGCCATCATCGGCGGAGGAAGCCGCTGGCTCAGGGGCTCCTGCTTGGAACTGCTCATCCTGAGAGCTCATGGTACCCCAGCAGGGTCAGGGGGGCAGCACCCCAATCCCCGCCTGAGCCCCAGCAGCGTAGGATGCCACCCCCACCACCACCCCTGGTGACACTCCCCCCACCTCCTCCAGCCAGCCCAGGGGACAGCCCCTAAACCCAGCCCTACCGCTGCACCCCCATGCAGGGCCTGGCCCCCCCGGCAGCCCCCCCCCCAGGGCTGACAATGGAGGGTCTCTCTGCCTGCAGCAGCGATGCCAGCGGCCGTGGGAGCTACCTCTACGTCTGCCTGCGTATTGCATTGTGGGTCCCCTCCTCCAGCAGGCAGGGCTTTGATGTCACTCTCATTAAAAGCCTGGTGGGCAGAGCCCGTCCTGTACATATTCATAAGCAGCCGCGCAGGCAGGAACTCCACGCCAGGGTCTGGGGGGGCACCGGAGGTCGGGGTCCCGCTGTTATCCAGGCAGCCAGCACGTGCTCAGGAAGAAAGGGAAACATGAATTTTTACATTAACAGGAATTTCACGGTGTTACGAAATCCTGCCCTCGAGATAAGAGGGAAACGCTCCCTGAAATCTGAACATAATCAGGTTTCCCCCCCTAAAAAATGAGAGGAGAATTAGGGCTTTGCAATACAGAGATGTCCCAGTTGGCAACCTGCTGGCATCCAAATGAATAGTCCAGGGAAACAGCCTTAATTCTCTTAAATTATAAAGACAACAGCTGCAATTTTTTGCAAATTAACAGAGTCAGTAACCAGAGCCCACCTCTGCAGACCAGGGACTCTGCATAGTTGATCTGGAACAATAAATAGCAGTGAGATTTGGGATCCAGAGCAGAGCAGGAAGACAGATCCCATCTGCTATAAGGTTACAAAAAAGGATTAAGAAAAGGATGTCTTTTTGTTAACATCTCCTGTTCCACAGGAAATGAAGGCCCAGCATCACCCACGCACTGCACTGGGATGGCCGACGCATCCAGCTCCTCAAGGATCTTGCTTCAAGAATCTACTTTCTAGCTCTTCCAGGAATGGAACGTAAATCTGGAGGCTGGCAAGCAAAAAACTCCTGGCTTAACCGGCAAAAAACAACTGTTAAGACTACAGAAGACAATAAGATTTTGCGGTTGTAAAAAGATGTCAGAGAATTCAAGTGAGGGAAAGCAGAAGCAGGGTTAAAACTGCCCAGGCAGAACCATTTAGTGCTTCCAGCATGAAGAGCAAGGGCAGATGTGTCCAGCCAGGCTCCAGGTGTGGAAAAAAAACCTTAAGCAGTATATTGTGATTTTGAGGAGGATGACAGATTTGGACCAGAGCACGGTCCAATGTTCAAGATACTAAAATGTTCAAGATATTCAATAAAAACAACCTAAAAATGTATTTAAATCAAACTGGAGTGAGGATTTGTCACTGCTCTAAAATACCTCTTCCTGCTACAAGTTGCATCATGCAGCCCCAACAATCTCTCTGTGCACAGTTCCTGCGAGATGAAGATACAGGGTGATTAACGGCACAGCTACTGTTGTTATCTGAGTAAATACATCTTGGCATCAAACCTATCATTAAGAGACAGAATTCTTTTATTTTCCCATAGAAAAGAAGTGCTGGTATCACCAACACTTACACAAGAGTGGAACCACAGAAGGGGTAGCTGGGGAGGGACCTCTGGATGTCATTTAGTGCTCCCATACAAAACCAGCTGTCACCAGAGGTATACAGAGGTTTGTAGTGGGACACTGAGCCACTCAGAAATTAAATGATTGTCCTAAAAGATCACAACGTATTACAAAACAGGACCCTGAGACTTCAGCAGTCACCAACTGCAGACACGTAAACTGCATCAATACCAACCAGACAGAAAATCTGTATGAGGACTATTTGCTAAATATTTGGTAGTTGCATGCTTTTTGCATAACCTTTATAGATATTAACTGAGATCCCAAAGGAATCAGTAGATATTATTGTTCTTACTCAATAGATGGGGAAGCAGTTGCAAAAAGATTAAATGACACGCGTGACCTCAAGCAGTGAACAGGCAGCAGTGACTGAGTGGACCACGGTTTTTCTCAGTGCAGTGGCCCTGGCCCCTTTTATTTGGGCTCAACAGCACGATATTCAGCCCAGAAATTGGTTTGGTGATCCTTAACGTTTTCATGAAATTCGATTTCAGCTTGGCTTCCTGTTGATTGCCAGAAGAACTGTTGCTTCCCATGGAACACCATCGTCTTCATGGTGCTTACATCACGGACCTTCACGAAGAAAGATGAGACCATTATATCATAGCAGCCTACAAGGATAAGTACCCACAAAATACTGGGGACATGCAAATTGGTCACTCAGGGGGAAAAGGTGCCCTCTGCAAAGATTAGAAGAAATACAGTAGACATCAGTAGTGCTCGTTCACATCTATGTTTACAAAACAGACATCAGAATCTGACCCTCTGGGATTTGTGACTGAACTTGGCACCTGGATGGAAGAGCCTAACGAGGAGATGTGTTTGTACCCATCCAAACTATCTCCTTTAGGTTTCTGACTCACCAGGATGTAATTAAAATGTGTTTGGTTGCTCTCCTTGCCCAGGTCAATATACAGGGCGCGGATAGCTATGCGATGCCGAGGAGCCACGTTGATGAAGGTCCGACACACTACTTCTTGCCTTTGATCAGGCAATTGCACAGGATTCTGTATTTCACCTTGAGGACCAAACAGCTGCTTGTCACAATCTGAGAGGAGGAAAGGGAGCAGAAAAGACAATGATTTAGAGGAGTATCCAACATCTCCAAGAAAGAAATCATTTAAATTAAGCACAGGCAGAAAAGTTTCTCTAAGGATTTTCATCTGGGAACCTCCAAACATCAGCAAACACCTGCAGAGGGCTTGCTTTTAAAACTGAGGGGTAGTCCACAAATAATATTAATTCCAACACTCCTCAAGAAGGGGCTTATTAGCTGCTAAAGATGAAGCAAGGTTTCCATAGATTTCCATAAGCAGCCATGACCCGTGGCATTCTGTAGGCATTGTCATGTGTGCCTTAATCTAAAGCAATAGCAAAGTTTTCAGTAAGGTAATTACCTTGGTAATATTTTTTAGTTGCAGTTCTGCTGTTGTACTGAAGAATGACCCCATTTCCTGGCAGCAAAACACGCTGTTTCACAATCAGTGTATTCGTTCTGGAATTTATCAGTGACAAAGGGAGCTTCCTGCAGCCTGTCCGCCACATCATTCGCCCAGAAAACAGCACTACCTCACCTGGAATGGATGAGCACAGGGATTAGAAACACTTCCACTTTAAGTAAAAGGCCGGAACCTGGCTTGCATAGGTCTGGAATTGAGTAATTTCTGCATCTTGTCCCCGTCTTATCAAAATCTGTCATGAAAACAGTCCAGTTAACTAACTTAACTGTACTGATTCCAGCAAGAGGGTATAAGAGAGAGATTTTATAACAGGCCAAAGCAATAAGCCTCTTTAAAACCTATAAACTCCTCTCTTCCAATATCTATCAACAAAACAGATAAGACACCATAACGTAGGGGGAGGAAAGGCATCATCTTCATTGAGTCCTATCTGGCAAAGACTTGGGGGGACAGAAAGACTTGGTTTCAGAGATTACACAGGCTCCAAGGCAGCAAGTATCATTCAGGGCACCAAAAGCACAGGGACAAACGAGGTGGAGATTTCCAAAAAGGGCCAGGCTGGTCCCCAGCACACCCTGGGGGTACCTGCACTGCAGTTGAGGGAGCTCTCCAGGACACTGACTGTGATCTCCTCCCCAAGGGGACGTCCAATGGCCACAGTGCAGTCACTGCTCTCTACACCCGTCATGTTGATGACCCCGGTGGCATTAAGAAAGAGTTTTCCACAGACACCTGTACAGCAAGAGACGGATAAGAAACACATCCAGAAGGAAGTAGAGCTGCTGAAACACAGCTTCCATCCCCTCGTGGCACAACGAACAGACAAGTGCCAACAGTGTGCCCGCCTTCCAGGTGAAGCACAGGAAGAGTCAGCTTCTGTCCCAAGGAGTCCCAAGTCAGAAGACCTTGGGTGCCCAGGGAAGAGATTCATTGCTCCTAGGTCAGGTATCATGGACAGCTCATGGCATGATGGAAGAAACAGTGTGTTGTCCCTCCTAACGAGGAGTACTCCCTGCCATGCTCCTGTCCCTGTGTGGCAGTAGGGTCACCACGATCCAGCTGCACACAGTAAGCACCTATCTCTACCTTTTGGTAGTGTCCTCCTCACCTTCACTGGCCTCTTTTGTCTGTTCCCGAGTCACAGCTGGCTCAGCAGACGGAGGAAGATCCAGGTTCTTGTATTTCACCTCTCTGACTGTTGCAGCAGTTGTCAGATGTGTGGCTAGTGTCACTGTCTGCATTTCTGCTCCACGGGACCCGGGTCCCACCATCTGCTCAGGACAGGGCCCTGCCGAGCAGCCACGTACCACAATGGCCTTGGGGAAGTGCCTGCAGAAGATGGGGTTCACGTGCTTACGGGTTAGCGGGTTGAGGCAGAAATCCTGCCGTGTCTGAATGCCATTCCCACACGAAGTTGAACACTGCAGAGGAAGAAACCCACAGGCCTTTATACTTCTATTTCAGTAGGTATTTAGAAATAAATATACTTATTGGCTCGGGCATAATCTGGAGGTCTGATCTTCTATTGACTGATGCTGTTCTACCACCTGCCCTTGCATTGCTCTACCTTCATCAGCTCTAAGATGGTCCCCCTCCCAGGGGATCTTCCAAGCTATATCTTTGAATTGCAGAACCACTTCCCAAAAATTCCAAGAATATATGCATTCCGGAAGAAAACATGCCAAAGACCATTTTTAAACTGCAGCCAAAACCTGAGAAACGTGGGAAGCAAACCCATGGCTGCTAAACATAGGAGAGTGGAAAGGGTGGAAAACATCCCTAGAAACAGCTTAGCATTTCTGTGGGAAGTAAATACAACAAGGCAGAAGCGGTTCTTCTTCACTGTGTACTTTAAACAAGTGAATGGCTATGAACCCACTTCCCAAGACATCACGTGCTGCATCTGAGGAGGAGCAGATACCTCTGTCCACTCGCTGAAGCTCCATTCATAAGAGCACATTCGGATGACAC